CTTTATTACAGAAGACACAGCTCTTAACAGTTATTTAAAGCCTCCAAGAGGATCAAGTAACATCAAACATGTTAGGAGTCAGGGGGCCTTTTCCACATACTCATGCAAGCGTCTGAACAGCATCTTCTTTAAAAAACAAAACTAGAGCGCACCACAGACCTATTCAGATATTTGTAGATTTCTATTTTGTTAGTATCATCACAGCACATATGTTTCCAAGCACACACTTGCATTACTTATTTTCAGATGATAAACAGATTAAATTCTGAGAAAAGAAAAATCATTCTAAAGTAGTCCTTTAAATGATTAGCTTCTTCTAGACCTATCATTTTACTGCTTAAAATTTTAAAGAAGTTTTATATGATAGAAAAAATGTTCATACAATGATTCAATATCCATATAAAACTTACTTTGTTTTGAATATATTCTTGATATTCTAAGTTATATTTTTTTAAAAGATCCCTCTTCAATTCATCTGTACGTGGAAACGCAACTTCCTTCAATTTCTTGGAGGGGAAAAAAGATAGATAAAATTTACTTTTCAAAAGAAGTACCTGGAAAACAAATTCAGTGTAATACAGATTTCAAAAATAAACTAAAAAAAAAAAAAACACAACTACTCTTCTCCCAGGAAAGAAAGGAAGAAATAAACACTAAATCATCAGCTAGAGTAAACTTATATAGTACACTGATTTCAATGAAGCTATGTTAATTTACATCAGTGAAAGGTGTGACTGCTGGTTAAGGAAAGATGGGTCATTTTTCTAACCATCTGTTTTGTTTAAGAGATGTGTCATGATTAACATTTTTGATTTAGCTGTATTTTATTCCTAAAGCTAACTCCAACTTTCAGTATTTCAGGTACGATAGCCACGCTTTTCTCTAGGACTCCCTGGACAAAAATACAGCTGCCTATGCCCATTCCTTGGCGGGATGTGGGGAGAAGCTAATTGCAGTTAATATCCACACAGGTAGCTTCCTGGGACAGCCCAGGCAGATCCTTAAACAAAAAACATGCCCATTGATGTTTTCTACTGGTGCAAAAGCAACTGCAAAATAATGTATAGGCTGCTAGTTAGGGTAAGAATGTGGAGGGGAGCATATGTTAGATGCCCTTTCTCAACAGGGATGTTTTCCTAAATTGTGGTCCAAAGTCAAGTAAAATTTGGCATGAAGCTTTTTGGCCTTGCAGATGACATTAATGAACTAACAGTAGAAAAAAGCCTTGCAAATATGGCAGAATGAAGCAGAAGACAGCTGTGCATACTCTAAAAATTAAGTTGGTAATTCCAGATGTTTTAAACTCAGTACAATGCTGTATTTGAAAATTTTCTTGTAGCGAAAAAATTGTGAAATCATTTTGTATACAAGGAGAGGAAAAAAAATCTAGTAAAAATGGAACAAAGCAACTCAATGCACGTTTGGCAATAGAGAAAGCAAAAACATACTTTGATTATTTAGCAGGGTAAGCAAATAATTGTACACCAGTACAATTCCATACATCTCTCTCTCCCTCTTTTTGCAAGAGTGAGAGGTTGGATCACTAGCCATTCATGTAATTGGGACCAGAATCTAAGTACTGTTAATGTAACGTATTTTAAATATGTATGTTTTTAAAAATAGATGTACTTGGGTTTCCAACAATCCACTGACTTAATTCAGAGATAGTTCTTGCTCACCCTTTAAAATGATTATTTAATTTCTAGTAACGATCAAGTCACTAAACTGAAATAAAACATGAATGAGTAATGGAGAAAGTTATCAGAACTTCAACCTGTGGTGGCTGCCGTGGACTCCTGCTTGCACTGAGGGAAAAGGAATGCTAGGAAAGTTTCTGAGAAAAATGTTTCTTAAAGGCCAGGAAACAATAACCCTACCTTAATAATATCTTGTTTTTCCGGCACTGCGCATTGATGATAGTCTCGGTGACTGGGCAGCTTTTCTACAAACAAGCTAGAAAATTAAACACGCATGTGTTTCCCTTAGTAGTCTGAGGAAGATTTGTAATAGCTTTCATGTTGGCAGGGAAATAAGTTTACATGTTACAAATGTTAAACATTGCATCCCAGATAACTTGAGCACGTTTCTACATATTCATTAGTTTAAACTATCACTTAAGTTATTGTATGGACTGGTATTGGACACATGGTGTAATGACAGGAGGTCATTTTCTATGCCTGAATATATTTTGGGGTTTTTTCATTCAGGTTATGGATTAGGTTAAGAAAGAAACAACCAGCACTCAGCACCTGAATATAGCCCTCAAAAGCACTCTCCAGCCTAGCCAGTGTTAAAAAAAATCTTTTTTCTCCTGTCAGTAGGTAGAATGCAGAATCTTAGATGGGAAGTCTAGCATGCAGCACTGACCATCATTAAAGCAGTTATTTTTACCAGACCAACCTGCACAGCTAACTGTAATATTAACCCATCTAGACATCTAAATTATGGAAACACTCTCAGCCGCAAAAAATTGTTGGGATATGCAACTCTACCATTCTTCCTGGTCTTTCAGCATTTTGTGCAATGTTCACCTGCAGACTATTTTTACAGAGATATATGCATTTAAAATAAAGCTGGATAAGCAAGATTCAATTTTAGGTTTCAGAGCGTGAGGGAAGGAGGTTTCCTATTACAAAAATTTTTGAAAAAGCATACAAAAAACCTTTCAGAGGTAATGAAGCAAACCAGTCAATTCTACAGCAAATTAGGCTAGTTGAAACACTTAAATCTGACATGAATATATTTTCAGCTGGCTATTCTGGGAGTTGTAATGAAAATTGTCTGGATTTTTGGGGGGGGTGGGAGACTAATCATGTATTGAGTATTTTGCATTTATTCCTCTCAGAAGCAAAAAATTATGCTTAATCTTTGTGGGGACTAAGAGTAAAAAGAGATGTACAAAGTCCTTTCATGTCATCTAAGTGCTGTGTAATACTATAGTCTTAAAGATCTGCAGAAGCTCATAGTGTTCACCTGTTAAAGTCTCAGAACTGCTCTGTAAATACTGCTCTTTAAACCATGCGCTGTATTTTACAAACATGCTGATAGAAACAGAATAACCTGTAGCCAACAGTGCTCATAGTATAGCCTGGTACAGTAAACTGAAAGCTCAGTATATTACGCTAATTCATGCCTGGCAGTTAATAGACAGATATGACCACTGTACTAACAGTTGAGAAGAAACTATAAAAAAAGACTGTGGTTAGAGTAAAGATCTCAAAAGAACAAAGCTACTCAGTAAGAAAACAATTATAATCATTTTTCTCCTAATTTAAAGGGGTGCCCACTGTGACTATTTCAGTCTACTCAGAATCAGAAACTACAATGACAACAAACTGTTTCTTACGTTATGAACTTATTATAAAAGACAAAAGCATTTTCCAGGTTTCCTTCCTGCAGATATACGGATGCCATTCGCTCCATCTCTACTCCAGATCTAAAGTAACGACGTGGAGTGATATCTTCATTGATTGTGATATTGCTGCCAAGTTTGCTTAAGGCACGTACTCTCTCCTCTGGGGTCACAGAGATGTCTGTATGGTCAGGAATAGCTACCAGCTTTTTCTGAAAAAGAGAAGAGATATTAGAAAAGAGAACAAGATATGATGCCTTCATTAGACCTTCAGGAAGTGATCTCATCCAAGACACTCAAGGAGAACCTTCAGCTTTCTTCTTGAAATAGCTAACCTCTTCCTCACTGCTAGCAACAGTTAAAACATTCTAACAGGTTTCTTCAGTTATATAACAAATAAAAATGATCCTATTCCACTCCCCAAATCCTCAAACTACACGAAACCCTGGGGGGGGGGGGAGATAAAATTTATTTAATCTCTGTAGAAATGATCAAAGGCAACACAAAGTGTGTCATCTTTAGAGTCCCCCAAACATGAAATTCTGTAAGGTCTGTTTTAAGACACTGAAACAATTTGGTGGAGGGCCTGTATACTCAAACTCCTATTATACAATGTACTTACTCTGCTGCATATAGCTCAACTGACAAAGAGGAATAAGTTTCCCTAGTCAGGTCAACAGTTCACTTCCAATGTTCATTTTATAGATTTAAAAGAGACAGTTGAAGATTAAGAAGCAGGAAATAATTCTACTGAAGAAGAAGCAAGGCTGCTTATTATAATCATTACCTTCTAAGTGGCCTAATAAGTGGCTACTGCAAATTGCTTCCTCTTATTTTGTTGAAAAGTTTTACTTTTTCTATTCAAAACGTTCACTTCAACTTCTTAAAAACATGATCACTGGAACAAGCTAAAACCCCAAAAACCACATTTTTAGAAAAAAACATTTAAACTACAAAGGAACCATCAGGCAGAACGTGCAAGGAACTGGCAGAATTCAGGGAAAAACACCTGTAGCTGGCAGACAACACTGCTAAACAGCTCTCTCACGTTGCTTATTTGAAAGAGGGGGCTGAGCCATTAAAGTGTTTCTGTGCAATACATACCAATGAACTAACAGTGAATGGCTGTTCCATGTTGCCCTCTGTCTGCAAATCAAGGAAATCACTCTTTTTTTCCAAATTCTCCATCTGACTACAAAAGACAAGATGGACCGACGTATCAGTCCAGTGCTCAATATTTGCAGCAAGCTGTATCAGAGTCTATTAGTCCAAGGGAAACTCCAGAACAGATACATTGATTGTGGTCATGTGCTGGATGAAACAGGACAAGAAGTCACTCAGATGAGAAATACATTTGTATGTTACATAGGTTTGCATGCTGTGCCCCTCCCACTCATTACTTCAGTATACAGTACTTACACAGTTATTAATAATCTAAAATTTAGCAAGTATCTGGAATTTAAAACAGGAATCTATGAGGGGCTTTCAGGACACTTGTGGACTAATTGATTGGTTCTAACATTATTACAGTGGATTTGAACAAAACACAACATTATAACATTATTTTTGCAAATTTTTACAGCAACTTCAAAAAATACTTTCAAGCATTAAGTGAAAAAAAATCAAAAGTTCAAAGAGATTAATCACAAATCTGATTCCTTCAGTATACGTTTGGACAAATATATTGTAAATAGTGGCAATCTGGCATCTGTTTTCCTGCTAAAGCTATAATTAAAAATAAAATCCAGCTTAGCAAACAAGCTAATAGCAGTAACAGAAAGTACAGGAAATGTTTCAAGCACCATTTGTTCCACCTGCCCAACTGGCTGACTTCAACAACACTCAAAATATAATGCAACATGATGAGTCAACTGATAGTAACTGCTCCCTGCACAGATGAGGACATGTTGTGGTCATCAGAAAAAAAGAATATGTGAAAAGGAAATTAATTATTTAAATTATGCTGGAAAAATGAAAATGAAGCTACTAATGTGGTTTTTCACTTCTGTGCACTCAGTCTAAACAGACTTGATCCTGAATGTCGAAGCCACTTTATATATTGCAAAAAACAAAAAGCAGGTGCAGAGCAGAAGTCCTGCACCTAAGAAGGTTCAGCAAAGATGTTTTCTCAGGACATCTCTCTCTAGAGGCCAGAGGTCTCTGGGTTAGAGGAAAACAGTCCCAAGGAACTGTCTGTGTTTTTAGCCGGCTATATTTCTCAAGAGTTAATTCCTGTATCTGAGTTGTCCTCATTTTTCCAGAAACTAACAGTATCTGTTAGATCAGGCTTTAATTTTCACCACTAGCTCAAGTTTTGTAGGAGACATTAAATTCATGTAAGTAATATGCTTCTATTATAATATTCAGCTTCCTCCTCTTTTACTTGTGAAAGCCCTTATTCCATCTTATTAAATCAATCTTACCCGGCTTTGATAAAACACATATGACCTACCAATCTAAATTAAATATTCATGCTTGACTTTATACCCATGTTCTCCACTTTTACAATTTTTTTTTTCATCATCAGGTATGCCGTAGGTCTGTGAATTCAATTTCATACTTTGTATTTTCAAGTTAAGGTATGCAAAACGCTTGCACAATTTGTGACGCTCTTAGAAATAAAAATATGGAGCTTAGCTTGTATGCTCACGACATCAACATTATCTGTGGTGGTAGCACTGATGGAAACAGTTCTCTAAACAATTTAATTTTATATAAACGGAGCTCTGCTGTAAATGATCAGCCTGGCAGGAGAGTCCTATTCATTGTCTATTCATGGTTTGCAGAAAGGCCTCATGGGACCACAGTAACTGAGTATTTTTGCTTTAGCCGACCTCAGGAGACATACTGCCTTGTGGCTATTTTCACCTGAAACTGCCCTTCAGCTGGACCACTGTAGCTGTGGTAGACTGGAAGGAGAGGTCTAAAAGCTTGGCCTATGCAGAGCTTATATTACTTTTCTTCCGTTACTGCTCACATTCTTAGCAGAAATAAAGTGTTCATTAGGAGACTGTATTCATATGCTCTGCATGGCTTAGGAATAGTAATAAAATATCTTTGAGAACTAAGCATATATTTTAGAACAGATGATGTAAAAAACATTTTTTCATACACTTATCTGTCACTTGTAGATTTTCTTATTTCCCCTTGAAGCACCTGGGAGATTTATGATGGTTGACTGGGAGGCTGCTTATGGTCTAAAGTATGCATCTAACTCTGACAAGTTGTTTCTAAGTTGCAAAATAGTCTAGTTATTCAAGTTATTCTAGGAAATACTGTTCAAAAGCAAGGAGTGCAGAAATGTACTTCCATTCAATTCCCTTTTTCAATTCTTTTGAATAAGAAAATTATTTTTCATGTACTTTCTCCCTTACAGACCCCCTTCCAAATCTAGTAAGGAAATAGATGTTTAAGATAATGCTCTTGAGATTCTTCCATATGCATGTCATGGGGTACTGACTGTATGGTAATTTCAACTGCTACCACAGCTTTAAGACTTTTCAGCCTAGCTGATAGGCAAATAGAAAAATGTTAGTGCAGCAGGTGGGAAACACAAAAGCCAACAGTATTTTGTTTCATGCCAGTATTCCCAAAGAGGTCTTAGTTACAGAAACTTGTGGTATCCCCCAGCAAAAATCTCTTATGAACTGGCACAGGGAGGAATCATGGAACCCTTTACTTGTAGACATTTCTCATCTTAGTTGCCTCTAAGAATATGAAGGTTAAAAAGATAAGAGTGATTAAGTGATCTTTAACCTAAAGAAGTATTAGTAAAGAAGATCAATTAGAACACCACATGAATTAAAGAGGAGCCATCTGGTATCAGCAGAAACTCAGACTTCCTCAAAATTGTGTTGGAGCTTTGAAAGAATAAGGACCTCTG